GGCATCATTAGGGGCATTGACCCTTCACCCCGGGCAGTAACTAGGTCAGGGTCTCGGGCTAGGGACACGGGTCAGGCCGTCGGGTCTCTCCCAGTGCTTCTGGGCTGTAATATTTCTCAACCTCCTGAGCCGCTTTTTATATTTATTTTGTGTCTCATGTCCACAATTACTTCAATTACTTATTGACTCTTGTTGATGCTTTTCTCGTGTGTGCAAAACCCCTCTGCTCATTAATTGAGACGCTCAGAAGGACAGGCTGATTTTCTGTGGGGTGAGACTGTGATTACAGGTCTGTCCAATCTGGAAAGTTCACGGATCTGAGCTTATATACACGGGGTGCTTAGTGATCCTTTTCTTCTGCTTCTTCATTTGTTCTTTCGTTTCAGTTGGGTTTCAATTACTCAGACTATTGGGTGAGTGCCTTTCATATCTATGACACAACTTGTTGGGACCAAATGCTGGACCTTTGGGCTCAGAGCCTGTATGTCACTCACAAACCAAGAGGGTAGAGAAACCTTACCTTTTTGTAGAGACTCCTCAGATCTCGGTACTGCCACATGCTGTTTAGGACCTGAGATGCGGCCTTGACCACCTTTGGAGAGTGTCTGATAAAGACAAGACAGGACAGGGAACTGTATTCAATTTCCTGTAATGAGTTATAATGGAAAATAATCTGAAAACATGTATATATATATATATATATATATATATATATATATATATATATATATATATATACACACACACACACACACAAATGTATGTATGTGGATAACTTGAATTGCTTTGCTGTACACCTGAAACTAACATGGTAAATCGACTACACTTCAAAAAAAAAAGAATTAGCAAAATAAAACAAAATAAAATTTAAAAAAAGACAGGACACGCAAGATGGTGAGTGGGACAGCTGGGCTTCAAATTGACCCTGACTTGTCAGGAAACAGCCAGTATAAAACAAATAAAAGCCTCTTGGCTTTTCTGGCTCTTTTCCTTTGTCCAGCCTGGACAGAGCAGGGGATGGTTGTAACCAGTCTCCAGCCTCATTCTCACACCCCCCACCCCCAGCCCCACGAGGGTAAGAGACAGGAATGCATTACAATTTGGCAAAGAATTTTCAAAGTGCAAACCCAAGAGCATGGCATTGAGTCAGAATGCAGATTTAGTGTTTGACCACAAAATAGAACAGAAAGAAGAGAAAAACAACCAATGACCAGGAAGGGCCAGATTGGGGGTTTTGATGGCAGTGTGGTTTATTTAAGCTGTTCACATCCTCAGATGAAGCACAGGAGTGTGTGCAGTGTTGGCTCCAGGGGCCTGAGGGATCGCAGGGAGCTGCTCTCCACGCCCAAGCACAAGAGATGGCGGGGAAGGCTGACGTGCACACACATCGCACACGTGCCTCTCACATTCACACACAGGAATGCGCATTGACGAGCATCTATAAATAAAACCCTTCAAACAATTAAAGTTCTGTCCTCTGGGCCATAGTGACAAACTAAAGAGTCGCATAAACCTTTGGACTAGTGTTTATCTTTTTTTTTTTTCCCAGGCATGGCTTTGAAATCCCCATGAAACTATAAGTAAGTATCTTTTGGTTAGTGCCAAGCTGCATCACAAAACAGACACCAGGTCAATAAATCTGTGCCAGTTTAATTCGATCAAATTTTTGGAAGTCACTTTGACTCGTGGTGAGGGGAAATATTAACTATCTACAGAGCCTTTGTTTCAATGGGCTGGTTCCAACTGCACAACTCCAGGGCCTGCTGGTGACTTTGGCCTATCTCAAGGGCTGGCACACTTTTTCTATAAAGGGTCAGATAACAAATACTCTTGGATTTGTGGGCCATATGGCCTCGGTCACAGCTACTCAACTCTGCCATTGCAGGACTGGAGGAGTCATAAATAATACATAAATGGATGGGTGGCTGTGTTTTCCATTCCAACGTTATTTCCACGAATGGGTGGGATCTGGCCTGTGGGTTGCAGTTTGCTGACTCCTGGTCTGTGTGGTGACTCCGGGCAGGACATAACCATTCATGAGGACTCCAATGTGAAGTCCACCTCTGAAACTGACCCGTGGTGCAGTGACTCATAGATCCCTTGAAGAGAATATCAGAACTGAGGTCAAAAATGCTTTTGACATAAAACGGCCTTTGAGATGGAAAGTGAGCAGATGGTAGGCTGGGATCAGGCTGACATTGGATTTGAGAGCCAGAGTAAACGGATATGTGAGAACATGAATTTTGTAATGAAATTATGGGATGCTATTACATAGTCAATGAAATGACTGCTAATTTCCTGGGTCTTCACATTTGCAATGTAGATCAACTACATTTAAGGTTTCTTCATCCATTTACTTGCTGGAAACAGCAACAGTCAGTATTACTATTGCTGACTTGGAATTCAATTTGGGCTGTGTTTGAAAACCTGTTAGTTATATCACATACTTTTACAAGAAAAAAATTAAGCATTCTTGTAAATTTCAATTTTTTTTCCTCTATGAGAGACAAGCTATATTCAAGTAACATACATATTTTCTTTTACTAAAATGTCAGTTGCTACATGATATCACATTTATGCTGGTATCGTGGTCGAAATGTAATATGAAATTCTTTTGACTTAGAGAATTTTAGGTCATCTCATGGATACAGATCGAGGCACACTTTATTCTTTTTAAAAATTGAATTATAATTGAGCTACAGCACTACGTGAGTTCCTGCTGATCTGATATTTGTATATATTATAACATGACCACAACAATAACTCTAGTTCCGTCTGTCACTATACAGTTATTACAATATTATGGACTCTATTGCACATGCTGTACATTTCAACCCTATGGTTCATTTATTTTGCAACTGGACTTTTCTATCTCTTAACCTCCCTCACCAGTTTAGCTCATCCCCACATCCCTCTCTCCTCTGGCAACCACTTTTTTGTTCCCTGTATCTATGAGTCTCTTTCTGTTTTTTTATGTTTGTTCTTCTGTTTTGTTTTTTAGATTCTGCATCTAAGTGAATATGGTATCTGTCTATCTCTGACATTGCACTTAGCATATCTTCTACATCCATCCATACTGTTGTAAATGCCAGGGTTCTTTTTTATTATTTTTTATAGCCAAGTAATATTCTGTTGTATATATATACCACATCTTCATTATCCATTCATCTATTGATGAGCACTTAGGGTGTTTCCATGTATTTCCTACTGTAAATAATGCTGCAATGAACACTGAAGTGCATTTAAGCTGTTCACATCCTCTGATTAGTGTTTTTGCTTTCTTTGAAAAATATCCAGAACTGGAATTACTGGGTTGTATGGTAGTTCTACTTTTAATTTTTTGAGGAACCTCCATACTGTTTTCCACAGTGACTGTACCAACAGTGCATGAAGGCTCCTTTTTTCCCCATATCCTTGCTGACACTTGTTATTTCTTGTCCTCTTGATAATAGCCATTCTGACAGGTGTGAGGTGATATCTCACCGTGGTTTTGATTTGCATTTCCCTGATGATTAATTATGTTGAGCATCTTTTCACGTGTCTGTTGGCCATCTGTATGGCTTCTTTGGAAAAATGCCTATTCAGGTCTTATGCCTAGTTTTTAATTGGGTTGAGTTTTTTTTTTTTTGATACTGAGTTGTATGAGCTGTTTATATATTTTGGATATAATTCCCTTATTGGTCATATCATTTACAAATATTTTCTTCCATTCAGTAGGTTGCCTTTTCATTTTGTCTGTAGTTTCCTTTGCTGTGTAAAGGCTTTTAGGTTTAATTAGGTCCCATTTGTTTATTTTTGCTTTAGTTTCCTTTGTTTGAGAAGATACAACCCCTAAATATTGCTACTTCTTACAAACAAAGAGTGTTCTGCTTGTGTTTTCTGCTGGTAGTTTTAGGTTTCTGGTCTTGTATTTAGATCTTTAATGAATTTTGAGCTTAGTTTTGTATATGGCATGAAAAAGCAGTCCAGTTTGATTCTTTAGCACATAGCTGTCCAGTCAGTTTTCCTAACACCATTTATGGAAGAGGCTGTCTTTTCCCCATTATATATTCTTGCCTCTCTTGTCGTAGATTAATTGCCCATACGTGCGTGGGTTTATTTTTGGTCTCTCTATTCTGTTCCATTGATTTATGTGTCTTTTTTGCGTCAGTACCATACTGTTTTGATTACTGTGACTTTGTAGTATAGCCTGATGACAGACTGTGTAATACCTCCAGCTTTGTCCTTTATTCTCAAGATTGCTTGGGCTTTGGGGATCTTTTTGTAGCTCCACATAAATTTAAGTATTATTTGTTCTAGTTCTGTTAAAAATATTGTGGGTATTTTCTTAGGGATTGCATTAAATCTGTAGATTGCTTTGTATGAATTCTTCCAATCCATGAACACAAGATATCTTTCGATTTCCTTGTATTATCTTCAATTTCCTTCATCAGTTTTATAAATTTCAGAGCACAGGTCTTTCACCTCAGTTAAGTTTATTCCTAGGTGTTTTATACGTGTTGATGTGATTTTAAATGGGATTATTTTCTTGATTTCTGATATTTCATTATTAGTGTATAGAAAAGCAGCAGATCTGGTATATTAATCCTTATTACTTCTAATAGTTTTGGGGTGGGGCTTTTTAGGGTTTTCTATATATAGTATTATGTCATCTGCAAATAGTGACCATTTACATCTTCCCTTCCAATTTGTATGCTTTCTATTTCTTTTTCTTGTTGAATGCTGTGGCTAAGGCTTCCAATACCAGGTTAAATAGAAGTGGTAAGAGTGGGCATCTTTGTTTTGTTCCTAATTTTAGAGGAAAAATTTTCAGCTTTTCACCATTGAGTATCATATTACCTGTGGGCATATACCCATTTTGATGAACGGTTTTATCATAAATGGATGTTGAATTTTTTCAAATGCTTTTTCTGTGTCTATTGAGGTGATTGTATGCTTTTTATCCTTCATTTTGTTAACATGGTGTATCACGTTGATTAATTTGTTGAACCATTCTTGCATTCCTGTGATAAATCCCACCTGACTGTGGTGTATGATTCTTTTTATATATTGTTGAATTTAGTTTGCTTTATATTTTGTTGAGGATTTCTGCATCTAAATTCATCAGATATATTGGCTAGTAATTTTCTTTCTTTCTTTCTCTCTCTCTCTCTCTCTGTTTTTGGTATCTTTTCTGGTTTTGGTATCAGGGTAAGAGTAGCTCACAGAATGAATCTGGGAGTGTTCCATCTTTTTCATGTTTTGGAATAATTTGAGAAGGATAGGTATCAGCTCTTCTTCACATGTTTGGTAGAATTCCACTGTGAAACAGTCCTGGACTGTTGTTTGCTGGGAATTTTTTGATTATTGATTCAGTTTCACTACTAGTGACTGGCCTGTTCAGATGATCTATTTCATACTGATTCAGTTTCAGAAGACTGTATGTTTCCAGGAATTTATGCATTTCTTCTAGGTTTTCCAATTTGTTGGCATATAACTGTTTGTTAGTATTCTCTTATGATTTTCTGTATCTTGATGTCATTGGTTGTACTTTTCCCTCTTTCATTTCTTATTTCGTTTATTTGGCCACTTTCTCTTTCTTAATGGGCCTAGTTAAAGGCTTGTCATTTTATTTATCTTTTCAAAAAACAGCTCTTGGTTTCATTAATCTTTTCTGGTTTTTATTTTATTTATTTCTGCTCTGATCGTCATTATTTCCCTCCTTCTGCTGACTTTGGGCTTTGTTCATTATTCTTTTCTTAGTTCCTTTACATGGTAGGGTAGATTGTTTATTTGATATTATTCTTATTTCTCGAGGTAAGCTTGTATCACTATAAACCTCCCTCTTGGAACTGCTTTTGCTGCATCCCATAGATTTTGGAAGTTGTGCTTTTAAGTTTTTAAGTTCATTTGTCTTGGGATATTTTCTGGTTTCTTTTTTGATTTCTTTCTTGACTGTTTGGCTTTTTAGCAGCATGTTATTTAGTCTCCACGTGTTTGTTTTCCCCATTTTTCTTTCTGCAATTAATTTCTAGTTTCATAGTGTTGTGGTTGGAAGATACTTGATATAATTTCTATCCTTTTAAATATGTTGAGATGTATTTTGTAGCCTAGCATGTAATCTATGTGCACTTGAAAAGAACATTTATTCTGCTGTTTTGGAATTGAATGTCCTGTAGATATCTATTAAGTCCAACTGGTCTAATGTGTCATTTAAGGCCACTCTTACTGATTTTCTGCCTGGATGATCTGTCCATTGATGTAAGTGGGGTGTTAAAGTCCCCGACTATTATTGTATTATTGTCTTTCTCCCTTTAAGTCTAGTAATAATTACTTTATATAATTAGGTGCTCCTATATTGGGTGCATATACGTTAATGAATGTTATATCCTCTTCTTGTATTGATCCCTTTATCATTATATAATGCCCTCCTTTGTCTTTTGTTACAGACATTGTTTTAAAGTCTACTTTGTCTGATATGAGGATTGCTATCCCAGCTTTCCTTTCATTTCCATTTGCAAGGAATATCTTTTCCATCCTCTCACTTTGTCTCTGTGTGCTGTTACCTCTAACGTGAGGTTTTTGTAGGCAGCATATAGATTTTTTTTCTTTAATCCTATCAGCCACTCTGTATCTTTTGATTGGAACAGTCTATTGACATGTAAAGTGATTATTGTTAGGTATGTACTTATTGCCGATTGTTACTTGTTTACTGGTTGTTTTTATAGGTCTTCTGTGTTCTTTTACTCTTCTTGTAGTCACTTCTCTTGTGGTTTAGTGATATTCTTCAGTACTATGTTTGTATTCCTTTCTGTCTAGTTTTTGTGTATTTATTGTGGGTTTTTGGTGAGTGGTTACCATGTGCTTCATATATGTTGACCTATAATTATATCTACTTGTTTTAAATTGATATTCACTTAAGCTCAAACACATTCTAAATGATTTACATTTTTTACTCCCTTCATCCATGTTTGATGCTTTTGATGTTATATTTTACATTTTCATGACTGTTCCTTAAATGTTTATTGTAGTTACAGTTGAATTCAAAATTTTTGTCTTTTAATCATTGTACTGGCTTATTTAAGTAGTTGATCCTCAGTCCTTTCTATGTATTTGCCTTTCCTAGACGGATTTTCCTTTTCCTATAGATTCCAACTTCTTTTCCACTTAGAGAAGACCCTTTATCATTTCTTTTATTATAGGTTTAGTACTGATGAACTCTTTTAGCTTTTGCTTGTCTCAGAAGTTCTTTATCTCTCCTTCTGTCTAAATGATAACTGTGCTGTGCAGAGTATCCTCTGTTGTAGGGTTTTTCCTTTCAGTACTTTAAATATATCATGCTACCTTCCTTCTGGCCTGCAAAGTTTCTGCAGAAAAATCAGCTGATAGCCTTATGGGAGTTCCCTTGTATGTGACTCTTTTTCTCTTGCTGCCTTTAGAATTCTCTTTTTAACTTTTACCACTTTGACTATGGTATGCCTTGGTGTGGGTCCCTTTGGGTTTATCTTGTTTGGGACTCTCTGTGATTCCTGTATTTGGATTTGTTTCTTTCTTCAGCTTTGGGAAGTTTTCAGCCATAGTTTCTTCAAATATATTTTCTACCCCTTTATCTCTCTCCTCCTTCTGGGATCCCTGCAATGCAAATGTTAGTATGCTTGATATTGTCTCACAGGTCACTTAAACTATCCTCATTTAAAAAATTTGTTCTTCTTTTTGCTGTTCTGATTGGGTGATTTCCATTTTTCTATCTTCCAGATCACTTGTGCATTCTTCTGTATCATCTAGTCTACTGTTATTTCCTTCCAGTATATTTTTCATTTCAGTCATTATTTTCCTCACATCTGACTGGTTATTTTTTATATTTTCTAGTTCCTTGTTAAATTTCTTGCTGTGTTCATCTACTCTCTTCCCATGTTCAGTTAGCATTCTTATTAATATTGCTTTGAACTCTTTATATGGTAAATTATTTATCTCTTTTTCATTAGGGTATTTTAAGGGTCTTTTCTTGTGCTTTCACTTGAAACATACTCTTCTGTCTTCGTTTTGTTTAGCTTTCTCTGTCTCTATGAGATTAGATTAAACAGTTACCTTTCCTGGTCTTGGGTGGGAGCATCCCTATGTAATCTGCATGTATTCAGTGGATTTGGTGGGAGAGCTGTATCTGAAGTGAGCATGGATCACTTCTTCCCCTGGGGTGTGCTGGCAGCTACCACCTTGTTGGGAGGTATGGCTGGAGATGGAAGAATCAGAGCCAGAGCCAGGTGTGAACCAGGGCTTCTCCTGTGCTCAGTGGTGGTTTCCACCCTATCAGGGACTGGGCCCAGGCCCCAAAGTTCCATTCCCTCTGAGTGTGCCCACTCTTTGGCAATGGTGGCCTCTGCCCTAGTGGAGAGCAGTGCTGGAGCAAGAGGGACTGGAGCAGGTGGCCAGTATGGGCTGGGGCACACTCTGTGACAGTTCCAGTGAGCTGGTCAGAGCCCCAGATGGTTTTCAATCTGTTGCCTCTGTGTTTATGCTGTTAATGGCTGCGTTTGCTCTGTTCACAGGCAGGGTCAGGTCTGAGCTGGCTCCATTCTAAGTGTGTGTACTCTTCTTGGCAACGGCACCTTCACTCTAGTGGAGAGCAGCACTGGAGCAAGAGGGGCTGGCACAGGTTCCCAGTGTGGGCTGTGGTGGCCTTGGGAAACCAGTAAGAGCCCCAGTTTTCAAGCTGTTTCCGCTAGCTGTTCCCAGGAGTAAGCAAGTTTGTGCATGTGCTGTTTTTCTTTTTTTTCCACTTTTAAATACAAACCCCATGTATCAGGGTTGTTGCATTGCCCTTGAAAGGTCAAAGTAGTCACAGTGCCCTGGAACATTCTTGTGGTAGACAGAAAAATTACCTGCCCAGGACTGTGGCCAGGTGCAGAGTGAGTCTGCGAGTACACAATGCTCTTAACAAGCAAAGTCTCAGTTTCTTACAGCCCTCCTGTAAGTCCCACTAGTGTTCGAACCAGCAAAGGGGACTTGTCTTCCCAGTGTCAGATCCCAGGCCTGGAGTGCCCCATATGTGGCTCAAACCCATCATTCCCCAGAGAGGATCCCTGAGGCTGTGATATCTCTCTCCTCTTCTGTGTCCCTTGCTAAGGGGACAGTTCCTGACCCGATCACATCTCCTCCCTTCCTATCAGACTCTGTGTGTATCTTTCTCTACAGAGTTGGTTGTAAAAGCCTTTCTGCCTGTCTCCAGGTTGTTTTCAGTGAGAGCTGTTCCACATGTAGATGTTTTAATGTGTTTATGGGTGGAGGTGAGTTCAGTGTCTTCCTACTCCACTATCCTTATCTCCCTCCTTCACATTTAGTATTTTTGACTTCGTATTTTATATCTTTTTTGTTTTGTGTATCCCTTAACTACTTATTATGATTTTTACTATCTTTGTTTTTTAACCTTCTTACTAGCTTTATAAGTAGTTTATCTCTACAGTTACTGTATATTTGCCTTTATCAGTGAGATTTTTCCTTCAGCAATGTTCATATTTCTAGCTGTGGTCTTTTCTTTTCCACTTAGAGATGTACTGTTGACATTTCTTATAAAGCCAGTTTAGTAGTGCTGAATTCTTTCGGCTTTTGGCTTTTGGCTTTTGGCTTTAAAACTCTTTCTCTCTCCATCAAATCTGAATGACAGCTTTGGTGGGCAGAGTATTCTTGGTTTGTTGGGTTTTTTCCCTTTCATTGCTTTGAATATATCATGCCACTCCCTTCTAGCCTGAAAAATTTCTGCTGAAAAGTCATCTGAGAGTCTAATGGGAATTCTTTTGCATTTAATTAGTTGCTTTCCCCTGCTGCTTTTAAGATTCTCTTTTTATCCTTAATTTTTGCCATTTTAATTACAGTGTATCTTAGTGTGGACGTCTTGGGGTTCATCTTGTTTGGGACTCTCTTGACTTCCTGGATTAGGATGTCTGTTTTCTTTCCCAGGCTAGGTAAGTTTCAGCTATTATTCCTTCAGATAAGTTCCTCACCCCTTTCTCTCTCCTCTCTTTTCCTTCTGGAAACCTACAATGCGAATGTTAGTATGCTTGATGTTGTTCCAAAGGTATTTTGAACTATCCTCATTTTAAAAATTTCTTTGATCTCTTCAGCTCAGATGATTTCCATTACCCTTTCTTCCAGTTTGCTGATCCACTCTTCTGTATCATCGAATTTACTGTTGATTCTTTCTAGTGTATTTTTTATTTTAGTTACTGTATTCTTCAGGTGTATTTGCTTCTTCTTTATATTTTCTAATGTTTGTTAAAGGTCTCACTGTGTTCATCCATTCTTCTCCTGAGCATCCTTACAATCATTATCTTGAACTTTTTGTTGGGTAGATTGTTTATCTCCACTTAGTTCTTCTTCCGGGGTTTTATTTGGTTCTTTTATTTGGAACATATTCCTCTGTCGTCTCATTTTGCTTACTTCTCTGTTTTCATTTCCATGTATCATGTAGGTCTGTTACATTTCCTGATCTTGGAGGAGTTGCCTTATGTAAGAGATGTCCTGTGGGGCCCAGCAACATACTCTTCCTCTGAACACCAGACCTATATGCTCTAGGGGCACACACTTTGTGAGCCCTTCTTTTCTAGTGGGGCTGACTACTGTGGTGTGTTGGTAGCTGGGGCTGGTCCCTGGCCTGGCTGGCTGCCAGGCTCTGCCTGGTGTGGAGGCTGCTGGCCTGCTGGTGGGTGGGGCTATGCCCTGGCACAGCTGGCTGATCCTCCCAGGACTGGGGCTGACTGGATGGTAGGCAAGTAAGCCTCTGGCCCTAATAGACTAAGGGAGGACTCCAAAATCATGCTTGCTAGCTCCAGTGTCCTTGTGGGAGAACTAGCTCCCCCAAATGGCTGCTGCTAGCATCTCTGCCCTCAGGGGGATTCTCAGTTGCCTCTTGCCTCCCTGAGATGCTCTCCAAGATCAGTAAGTGGGTTTGACCCAGGCTCTTCTCAAATGACTGCCTCTGTGCTCAGTTTCGGAGTGTGTGAGATTTTGCGTGAGCCTTTTAAGAGCAGAGTCTGTGTTTCCTACAGCCTCCGGCTCTCCCATCCGGGGGCTTGTCCTCCTGGTGCTGGAGAGCCCGAGGCTCCTTGGGGAGAACCTTTGCAGCTGTGATTATCCTCACATGCTGTTCTTATATAATCAACACTGAACAAAGATTAAATGCTATGTTTCACTGTGTTTATCACTGCTAGCTAGATATACGTCTATGACAAAAGTCAAGCAACTCTAGAGGAACATATATTAATATTCAGCAACGATAATTCAGCAACGATAATAGAGTTGAAACATATTTAGTATGCAAAAATTCCTCTGACACAGTGTAATTTTTTTGTACTTCTTGCTTAGTTACAAAATAGAGAGAGACTGTGAATGTGTAATGAATAGCAGCTTTTAACCTCTCAGTTAAAATGCCAATACATCACAGTGTTATAAAAACTTATGAAGGTCAAAGAAACATTACTTTGTTCTTAGACTTTCATTTTGATTCATCCACTAGACCGGTCCCATGCAACGTCTACTTGAAAAACTGTAACTTTTGATTGAAGGACTTGAACAATTGAGTGCTTCTAACGTGACAAGTGTTTATAACCTCAGCCACAAAACACAATTCCTTACTGACAAGTAACAGTTGAGATTGTTAATGGCTTTTCTGTTTTAAGACAAAATACGGTGACACATTCAACCCTGTTTCCTATATAACTATTAAAATTTGAAAAAACACAAATGTACTTTTGAAATAGATGGACATGACAAAATGTTCATAATGGGTGTTTAAAATCATGTGAAAAGAATAAGTTATCAAGACTTCAAACTAGTAAGTATAATACTTCTATGAGTCATGAATGATAACACAATGTCTGATCTTCACCAGAGTTGTCAAACTGGGGGTGGCTGAGAATTTCAGTTGGTGCAATTCACTGTGGGTGTTCAGCAGGGCTATTCCAGCAACAGGATTCAGAACAACAGTTCCAATGGTTGTATTGGCAAGACATAGTGAATTATATGGGTCAAACACACTGTGATTGGCAACTTGCCAGACTGACTCACTATCATGGCTTCTTTAAGCTTGTGTGTATATAGAAATAAAACATATAAATACATAAAATGGAGAATCATAGCTACACATGTTTTTTCATCTGTGTTTTCTCATGCTATTGCAAATTCAAAGTTTGAATAATTTTGGAGGGGGGAAGGCAAGTTTGCAAGCATTTTATAAAGTAACTAGAGCAAACTGATACTCCTCCCTTTTCAATGATTAAATCAACTCCAATTCTGAAAACTCTATTTTCCATAAAGCATTCCTATTTTATTAATATGTCTGGAAGGCCATGGGACTCTCAGTGCTACCAGCATGACAGATTTGAGTGACAAACGGTGAGTTTAGTGCTAAGATCCAGAGAAATTCTTCTGGATTCATTCTGTTTTAAGAGCAGTGCTTTAAGAAAAGCAATAATCACACTGAAGTGTAGGTGGGAGATGAAGATATCCCCAGTCATAAAATATTTGTTTTGATCCCCAAATTAGTCATTATATAGAAAAGCGATAAACCCCATAAAAGAATGGATGAGACTGATGAAGCAGGAGACCTGTATCTGGGAAGATGCTTGACTCAAACCAGTTCAATACTTCTTATTAATAAATACATAAATCCAGATTGTTAACATTGGGGAAAAAAAGATAAAGAAAAAAATGATATGAAAGAAGTAACTATTCCATAAAGAAATTTTCAGTCAATTTAAAGGATTTTTATGAGATTATCTGTAGTGAAAGGAACTTCCCATTAACAGTAATCCAAATGGGAACAGACTTAACAGGACCATGTTTTGGACTGGCAACGTGGATGTATACTATTTCATAGATGGTTTTCTCAAGTGAGTTTTTAATTAGTTTAACCAAATAATTTTCTTTGACCATGGGACTGAAAAAAAAAAACCCAGCTTTTCTCTTTAAGGCTCATTTTGTGATGCTTACTGTAATAGGGATGGTCACACAGTTGGAAGGAATTAATATGTGCCAAGCCACCTCCCAAAGCTCTACAGTCTTACAACTCAGAGAATATACTTTATTCTTTGAACGTCTCATGACTGTAGATAAATATACCAGAGTGTTTTTGTGGATTATAGTTTCATTGTGTGTGCATGTGTGTTTGCTTAAGAAAAGCATCAACATACTAACTCTTAATGCTCAAAACAGGGAAGCATTTCAGTTAGAGATTCCAACAGGTCTTCTCAAGCTATATAAATAAGAAAACTATGTGGTTTCCTGCCTATGTAGAAGAGCATGTTATTGTAAGTACAGTTTTATAAGGTATAATTCTAGCCAACAGTCTACACTGCACAATTATTACATGGGTCCAATGGGGTTTCCCTACTTGATATAGAAAAGTATTCGGATCCCAATACTGAATTGTTGATTGAGCCTATTTGGAGGTCTCAGGGTGCTTAAAAAGAAGCCCTGAGATTCCTTTTGTAATGCAATGGTAATACCCTGAATTAAATGAAATGAGAGTATTTCCAAAAAGTCTCAAAGTGCATCGCTCACAGCCTTTAGTAACAAAAGAAAAATTATTTAGCATTTAGATGTAAAGGAATGAGGGGGGCAGAAAATGAAAAGTCAAGAAGTAGACCCTTGATAACAAAAGGTTTACCCTTTTAATCTTATTTGATTACATTGAGGGACTTCCAGGAGACGAAGTTTAATTAAGGTTAGTGAATGTTTTTGTGAAATTGACAGCTCGCTGATACACTGACACTCTGGCTTGTGAAGATTTGTTCTGGTTGCATACAGTTAAGATAGCACTGATTCTTCAATCAAACCTGGGACATTCCTCTTTGTGGTGGCGCGGTTACTTTGACAGGACCCTCATCTCTCTTTATTCCGTTGGCATAAAAACCCTCCTTCCTCTCTGCCCATCATTCCCTCTGCCTGCGAAATTTCTATTCAGCCTTCAGGGTTTGATTATTACTTGTTCCAGGAAGTATTTTAAGACAGCCCCTCCCTCAGTTTTGGATTGGAAAGCATGGGCATAGTGACTTGTTAAATGATCCGTCCCATACGCACAGGTGGTGAGGGAGGGTGCTGGGTTAGCACCGAGTTCCCTCTGACTCCACACACCCCCTGTGTGATGACTCGCTGGGCAGAACAAAAGGATGTAGATACACCGTCAACACTTGGACTTGTAACCACTGAGGAACAACTGCCACAAAATACCTTCATGTATCCAGGTTGCCTCTCCCACACTGGAGGAACACCCTCGTCACTAGACTGGACGCTGGATTGGCAAGTCTATGTTACCAACATCACAGGAGCCACCAAGTCATGAGTTATTTCTCAAATCAAAATTATCAGTAAAATCAGCTTTCCTTGTGCGGTGGGATGATAGCATCTGCTATTCTCCTTCTCTTGATTATGCAAGGGCTTTCCAGCAGTGTTCAACAGTGTTATCTGTAACCAGGGGACGTCAGGGGCACACTTAGAACCAATTCTACCAAAACCAATTCTATGTGACACGCTGTCACCGGCTGACTTACTTGTCTCCTTTGCTTTTGGAGATGCCGACCAACTTCTCGATGCCGCCGGCATCCCGTAAGGCCTTGGCGTTCTCCATGTTCTTGGTGATCACTTCGTGCAGGGTGCAGCAGACCGCTGTCACCGTGTCGTCCGACATGGCCTTGCTCGCCGCGTTGTTGCTGTTGTTCCCACCCGGGAGCCTGTGGACCAGGTCTCGCATGGCGTACTTGCCTTTGGCAAAGAAAACGAAGGGAAGAGTTGAAGTGTGGCCAAAACGGAGAAAGAGGGCAGAGGGAGAGGTGGGGACGGGAGGCAAAAAGAGAACACAGGAAGCCACGTTAGTGCAGCGCAGTCTGTTCCCCGTCGCTGAATGTTCTCCATGTGGACACACA